AATGCAGTTTATGTCTTTGTTTCGACGTGAACAAAACATTTGAATAAAACTTTAGTATGAATCATTGATTTCTCGTCTGTTTCTCAACAAACTAATGAAGTCAAACTCTTTGCCTCAAACTGGAAAAAATATTTGAATCTAGTCTTGCTATAAATTATTGATTTATCACGTGTTCCTCTACCATCTAATTAAGTCAAGATTTGTGCTTCGAAATAAACAAAAATATTAGAATAGAATGTTCTTACGAATTATTCATTTGTTCTGTATGCTTCCACCATGGAACAAAGTCGAAATTTTTGCTTTAAACTGAAAAATATATTTGAATAGACTTTTAGTGTAAGCTGTCGATTTGTTGTTTGTTCTACCATCAGATACTATCCTCGACATGTTTTCTTTCAATTGAACGAAATATTCGGATAAGATTTTGGTAAGAATTATTGGTTTGTCCTGTGTTGCTTCAACATGTATTGAGCTCGAAATCGCTTCGTCGGACTAAATGAAACATTTGAATAGACTGTTACTATAAACTATTCATATGTCGTGTGTTTCCTTATGCTATGAAATGAAGTGAAAATCTTTGTTGCCACCTGAACAACACATCTGAATGGAATCTTGGTAACAATTTTTCATCCGTGCTGTAGCACTTCACCGCAGAATGAATTCGAAACTTCTACTTTGAGATTAACAAAAAAATTGAATAAAACAGTGCTGCAAAATATTGATTTGTTGTGTATATCTAGCCGATATAATAAACTCGAAATCTTTTTTTCCGACCGAACAAAATATTCAGATAGAGTTCTGGTAAGAGTTCTTAAATTGCCCTGTGTTTCTCCATCATGGAACGAACTCGAAAACATTTCGTCGATTACAACAAAATATTTAAATAGAACGTTAATACGAATAACTAGTATATTGTATGTTTCTCATAATGTAATGAACTGGAAATCTTTGCTTAGAACTGAACAAAATATCTGGATAGAGTTTTAGTAAAAATGATAGCTTTGTCGTCTGTTCCTCCACCATATAATGAACTTGATATCTTTGCTTGGAACTCAACGAAATATTTGAAAACAATCTTATTAAGAAATATTCATTGGCTATGTGTTCCGCTACCATGTAACGAACTCCGAAACATTTTGTCGAACAGAACGAAATATTTGAATAGAATGTTAATACGAATAATTGATATATCGTGTGTTCCTCACAATGTAATGAGCTCAAAATCTCTGCTTCGAAAAAAACAAAATCTTCGAATAAGCTCTTGCTATCAATTATCCATTTTTTGTGTGTTCCTCCGGCACATGATGAAGTTGAGGTCTTTGCTTCGAATCGAGCAACAAGTTTGATGCGAATCGTGTTATGAATTGTTGATATGTTGTGTGCTCCACCACCACCTAGTAAACCCGAAATGTTCGCTTCGAACCGACACCATATTTGAAACGAATATTGGCGATATGATATATTCCTTTCTCACGTGTTACTCTACTATCTAGCGAACTCGAAATATTTTTTCGAATTAGACAACATATTTTAAAACAATACTACTGAGAATGGTATAAAATATTGACTTGTCTTGTGTTCCTCCACTATTTAATGAATTTGTAATGTTTGCTTTGAAATGAACAAATTATTCGAATATAATGCTGGTACTATAAACTATTCATGTATCGTGCTTTCTACCATCATGAAATAAATTTGAAACTGTTGCTTTGAACTTAGCAAAATATTTCCATAAAATCTTGGTAATTCTAATCCTGCTGCTACTAGTATGAGTTATCCATTTCGCGTGCGCTTCTTCTACAATTAATGCACTGGCCATCTTTGATTCGAAATCAACACAACCTTCGAATATATTCTTGATATAAACTATTGAATTCTCATGTGTTACTCCAACGTCAAATGCGTTCGAAATCTTTGCTTCAAACTGAGTGCAGTATTTTAATAAAGTCTTAATAGGAATTATTAATTTGTCATATATTCCTCAACTAATGAATAAAGCAGAAATATTTGTATGCAACCGAAGAAAATAGTGAAACTACATCTTAATGGTTTGAATTGTCGATTAGTTGTCTGTTTTTACACAATGTGATCGAGTCGAAATCTTTCCTTTGAAAATAACAAAAGGTTTGAATAGAATCTTGGTAGTAATTAATCACTCGTAGTATAGCACCTCACCACAAAATGAACTCGAAACTTCTGCTTCGAACTTAACCAAATATTTGACTAGGGTCTTATTCTTAACGGTAATGTAAATTATTGATATGCCCTGTGCTTTTCTGTACTATGTAATGAAGTGAATGTCTTTGTTTCCACCTGAACAAAACATTTGGATAAAATCGTACTATGGATCTTTGATTTCGCCTATGTCCCTCAACAAAGCACTGTGGTCCAACTCTTTGCTTCTAACTGAAAAAAATATTTGAATAGCGTCTTGCTCTTAATGTGTGCTGTCGATTTGTTGTTTATTTCACCATCATATAGCATCCTCGAAATTCTTCCTTTTAACTGAACAAAATATTCGGATAGAATATTGGTACAAATTATTAATTTGTCGTGTGTTGCTCCAACATGTATTGAGCTCGAAATCGTTGCGTCGAACTACACAAAACATTTGAATAAAATCTTAATATAAATTATCGATATGTCGTGTGTTTTTCTGTACTACGTAATTCAGTGAATGCCTTTGTTTCGACGTGAACAAAACATTTGAATAAAACTTTAGTATGAATCATTGATTTCTCGTATGTTTCTCAACAAAGCAATAAGGTTAAACTGTTTACCTGGAACTGAAAAAAATATATGAATAGCATCTTCTTATCATTTATTGATTTCTTATGTGTTCCTCTACCATCTAATTAAATCAAGGTCTGTGCTTCAGAATAAATAGAAATATTTGAATAAAAGGTTCTTGAGAATTATTCATTTGTTGTGTGTGCCTCCAGCATGCAATGAACTCGAAATCTTTGCTTTGAGCTGGAAAATATATTTGAATAGACTCTTAGTGTGAGCTGTCGATTTGTTGTTTGCTCTACCATCATGTGGCGTCCTCGAAATCTTTCCTTCCAACTGAACAAAATATTTGAATAGGATCTTAATAAGAATTATTGATTTGTCCTGTGTTACTTCAACATGTACTAAGCTCGAAATCGTTGCGTCGAACTAAAGAAAAAATTTGAAGAGAACCTTACTATAAACTGTTGAGATGTCGTGTTTTTCTGTACTATGTAACGAAGTGAAAATCTTTGTTATGATCTAAACAGAATATTTGGATAAAATCTTGCTATGAATAATTCATTTATTTTCCGTCTCCAACTATCTAGTCAACTTTAAATGCTTCCTTGTAAATAAGTGAAATAATTAAATAAGATATTGGTATGAGACATGGATTGGTCGTATGTATTTAACCTTTGTACTGAACACGAAATCTTTTGCTCCAGTTGAACAAAATACTCGGATAAAAACTTGGTAATACAAATAATTGATGTATCGTGTGTTTCTCACAGTGTATTGAAGTCGAAATCTTAACTTCGAACTGAACAAAATATTGCGACAGATTTTTAGTATTAATACGAATAATTGATATATAGTGTGTTCGTCACAACGTAACGAGCTCGAAATCTCTGCTTCGAAAAATACAAAATCTTCGAATAAGCTCTTGCTTTTGGTAATACTAAGAATAAAGGTGCTGGTGGAAAGTAATGACTTGCTTTGTGTTTCTTTACCACGAAATGAGGTCGAAATGTTTGCGTCGAAGTAAACAAAATATTTGAATAAAATCGTAATTTTATGAATGATTGATTTGGCCTGTGTTTCTTCACCATGGAATGAAGTCGAAATGTTTGTTTCGAACAGGACAACATATGTGAGTACAATGTTGGTTGAAATTATCCACTTGTTGTGTGTTTATTTATCATGAAATGAAGTCGGAATGTTTGCTTTGGATTAGACAACGTATTTTAAAACAACATTTCTAAGACTAGTATAAAATATTGACTTGTCTAGTGTTTCTCCATGATGTAATGAACTCGAAAGCTTTGCTACGAGCTGAATGAAAGATTTGAATTGAATTTTTCTGCGAATCAATCATCTGTCGTTTGTTCCTGCACTATGTAATGAACTCAAGATCGTTGTCTCGAACCGCACAAAATATTCGAAGAGAATCTTGGTGGCCGCGGTGGAAATTAAAAAGCCAGGTATGTGTTGTTTAAAGGTTGAAGCTGATATTTTATTTCATCAATCATACTTCATCTTTGAGACTATTATTTCTAATTATTTTTATACTGAATAAATTTACTATTTTTTCGTTGTAGGACAATTGATGGCGCAATCAAAAATGCACATAAAAAGTCAAGCATCGCCATCAACCAACATTATGAACGTAAAAAAACATTTCAAATTAGCTAGCTTTTTTTTCTCATCTTCTTTTAATTCTTGTTTTTTTATTATTCATTCTCGCATATTTTCGCTTTTTATTTTTTCTGATTCTCTTATATTTTTCTTTTTCAATAAAAATAAAATCTTAAAATACACTCTTCTTTGCTTCTTGAAAACGATACCAGATATTTATAATAAGTATGAACAACCTTTTATTATCTGACTAAAATCAAAAAAAGATATTCAATGTGTTATAAGTTTTGTTAAATGTGAGGGTGTAAGGTTCTACAAAACAACTGATAGACACCATCAAGAAAAATCTTGATTCAAATTTATATTAAGCTTTGTACTCAAAAGAGCAAATAATTTTCATAAACTGACTCATTGAAACTATTTTTTCAATAATTTTCAAAAGTCAACATTTCTTCTTTAAAGTTTATTCTACAATGTGCAACTAGAAACATATTTTTTCTTTATTTCACACGATAAATTTCGAGATTTCAGTATTCTTTTTTTTGACGTTAGTAGAGCCTCCAACCATATCTTTTAAATAAACAGTAACAAAAACAATCATTTTTTCTTTCACTCAATATCTGCATTATCATTTTATTATAGTCTCCTTTCAACATTTTTAATCGCACATGTCTTCGTTTTCGAAGGACGTCTACCGTTATAATCTACTATAATGAAAGCAACTAAGCATGGCTTGATGTTTACATTTATTACTCTAGGTTGCACATATTCAAACGAAACAGAAGAAAGAAAGAAAAAAAATATGTTGAAGTAGTTTTATTTAATGCAGTATATTTAACCGATATGCATGAATAATTTTCATGTTCGCTTGTGTATCAACAGTTTTATTGAAAGGACGTTTTAACAAAGGTTCGATATTTAGAGGGGAACAACAAGCAATGAAATATATAATTTTATTTTTGCATTAGAGAAAATATCATATTTTGAAGCATTCCAATTGATTAGTTAGGGTTTCTCTATCTGCTTATAAAAATTATAAAGTTATATTTCATTACCTTTACATGACAATTTAATTAAAATTCTTTTTTATGCTTTGGAAAATGATAATTCATGACGAATATTATCTTAATTATTAATAATCAATGTGGTTTACAAACTCTACTTGATTATATTCTATATTTATGTATTCAAGTACATGAATTCTTTCAAATAAAATATTTTATATTTTTCTTTTGTTGTTTTTAATTTAGCTAAATGAAGTTAACCATATAGTTTTAAAATCAAATAGTATTTATACTGATTCCAGTATGTCAACAATTAATATATATTTATTAAATTTATTTAAACATTCAATAAGTAGTTAGCTTGGTACAACATCTTATTTTATTATAAACAATATTAGCGAAATAAAAACTATTGATCAATGTCGTCAAGAAAAAGATATTTATATTTGTTGATTATTATTTTCTTTATTATTTCGTTTAATAAATCTTGATGATAAATCATTAATTGGAATATTATTAACAAAAAAATTTATTATTGATAATCGCTTATTAATATTATATGAACGATTTAATCATATTCTACAAATATATCTATCGTTATTAATAGATAAACAATTAAATTCAACATTTAAAACACAATTGCTTAATACAGATGAAAGTATATCACATACATTTACAACAGATTGTTTTCCATTAAAAAAAATTGAACTTCATAAAAGGTACGCAATAATGTCATGATTATCAAAATCAAATATATGAAAATGAAATTCTTTTATTAATTAGTCGTCATGTTATGAAATTAAATTTACTTGATTATTTTTATTCAATATTTTTTGGAAAAAAATCTATCGTTTCGTTTTGAACACCGTTTAAATGCATTACAAGAATTTATATCAAAAATGGTTTAAATTCTTCAATTACAAAAATATTTTGTAAAACAATTAAAAAGGAAGAAGAGGCAAGAAAAATTTTGAATATTAAAATTGGTTCGACGATGGATGGAAAAGAATTAACTAAATATGTTATAACACATGCTCGAGCACAATTTATCGATGGAAATGATTTTAAAAATATAATAATAATAGAAAACTATAAAGCTTCTATTTTTTATGCAAACTTTTTATAAATATACGATATGGCATACATATCAAAGCTCAATAGCATCTTAGTATCTATACTACACTTTTCGCAAAAATAATCCAGCTAAAGTTTTTAATGAAAAAATTGAAATGTTTGCCAAATATACTACATACTATCATGGTCGAATAAGTAATCAATTAATCTATTTTGTATCTAATATCATCAAACAACATATAGATACTCGCAATTTTAGATCTTTGCTGTATCCAAATTGGCACGAAAAACGATCTAGATTTTTTAATAGTAGTACAGACTATACATCTACTATAGAACTACTTTGATCATTGAATACATATAGTTTATTAAATCGCTTATTCAAAACAAATAGATTAGGCGCTTAAATTTTGATAAATGCTTCTGAAATATTAAATAACTTTCAAGAAGATCAAAGTAATTATATTTTTCAAGTAAAATATTGTTGAAAGTTGTATTTTTTTTTCAGAATTCAACAAAGGAATGCAAGATAAAACATTTGATAATTATGATAAAAAAGCTCGATTTTTATTGCCTGAAATCGATAGTTCTAATCAACAGAAAAAGAAATATCAAATAAAAAAAAGTATAATAATTCTTATAAACAACGTTTCTATTTTAAAAATTTTAGTTAATAATTCATCACAGCCAACTCCCAAAAAACAGGTACAAGAATTTAGATTATTATGCACACCAATTTATTCTATGAATTTATAGTTTATATTTAATCAAATGATAAATACTGCTGAAGATGAAGAAAAAGAACAAAAATCTTCATCTTCAATCTTAAATAAATCGACTCTTGACATTCCAAAATATTGTCGTCCTAATGTGAATAATACTTTACAAGAACAAGCTGAAAGTTTATTGCCTTTTTATACATTCAATGAATTAACTCGACATAATGATTCAAATGATGCATGGATTTGCATATTTGGTCATATATATGATATTACATCACTTATAAGAAAAGCTCAAGGCACTAAGTTATATCAACAATTGATTAGTTATGTTGGCCAAGATATAAGTTTCTTATTTGATGAAATAACACATGAACCACGTAGACGAATACATCCACAAACATTTGAATCTGTTTCTGCGATTGAAAATCTATCAATACTTGAATCATTAGGTATACCTTTTTGGCAAACAAAAGATTTATTTATTGGTCGACTAACCGAATATCCTCGATATATTCGTCTTATACATAATTTTTCTCCTGATCATCCATTTATATTAGAAATAGCTGAAGAAGAAACAATTGGACAAATTGCAATAAAGTTTTTAAAATATAATTCACACATATTTTCTTATATATGGCGATATAATCAACAGATACTTGATTTTAATAAAACTTTAACTGAAAATGGTATACCAAATGAAGAATTATTTCATGATAAATATGGATGGCGATCAGATAATGAAAATTGTTCAACAATTGTACTTTGTTTCTCTGATGATTTAACGATTGCTTAAATATCAATCTATTTCTACGAAGAATATTGATAGATTTGTAATAGACTGTTATCAGTATTTGTTTTTTGATAAGAAAAAGAGGAATAAGACATGTCTGATATCCTCATAAAAATTGTCGACATATTTATTATATTTTACTAGAATTATTGATTTGATTTTGATATGAAAAGAGACAAAAAGTAAATTTTATTTCAAAAGTTTTATTATGAATAGATTAAATCATCATGCCATTTTCTATCTTCACTATTTTTATCTGTCCATAGTTGTTGATCATTGACATTTATTGAATTATTTTGATTAAAAATATCATCGTATTGAATTAGATTTGAATTTTGATATATTTCATTGTCAATAACTGATTGTTTATAACTATTTAATGAAGTTTGAAGAACATTTGTCTTACGAATACAGACACTACCCATTTATAACTGGCGCCAATTCTCTTTTCATCTTTATTTCTTCAATAAATAGACAATATGTGAATGATTTGTATCATTTTATAAACGTAACTGATCTAAACGCAAGGAAAAAATTGTATATTGGTTATTTATCAAAACAAAATAGTAAAAATATTTAATGAATATAATATAATGATGAAATCGTTTGGATAATTCGTACCAGACCAATGCATTTACAGTTTTTTATTAGTCACGTGCAAAAACACTGCCGGGCACGAGCAATCGAACGTTAAGATTTGTTTTTATCTTTTATTTTATCATATTTTAACTTACAATTTTTAGATTATGTTAGTATGGAATTAATTGCTGTTTAGTCGATAGATTGATATGAACAAAATATCTTTACATAGTATTGAATAAAATTTGTCACTTATACTATAACAAAAAAATGCAATTAAATTCAGACTTCTATTCGCGTTCGTCTTCTTCATCAAACTGTAGAACGAAAATTATAGAGGTACGAAAAAGAGAGAAATAGAAAGAGAGCAAGAGAAGGAGACTATGCAAACTAAAGCAGTCTTTCAATTCTTTTTTATGGCAATTCGCGTAATATCTCTTTCTCTCTCTCTCCGCCCTATACTTCTCATAACAAAGAGGGTTATATCGCTAACATTACATCGCCCCATTTTTATTATCATTGTGAGAGAGCTTAGTGTATGTGTATATATATATGCAATTTTATTATCATCACCATAGGGTGATTTTGATTGACTCAGTCGAAATTAAGTCAGCTGTGTGTACACGATAAATTTCTATTTGCATGCTTTATTAAAGTTGATTTTTTTTTGTTGACATCTGTGTCTTCTTCCTATGATGCAGAGAAATGCCATATAATATATTTTTACCTGAGTCTATAATATTATTTAACTACACAACTTGAACACCATTGACTTATGCTGCCTATTAACTTAGGTTTTTTTTTGTTATATATACTAGTTAAATGTTTTATTTCTTCCTTTTTACCAGTCACATTGCTTTGATGTACACACTTGCCTACGTGCTTAAATTGTGCAAGTAGTAATAGCAGAAAAAGTAATCCGACCGAGAGATGATCAACGACAGAGGGAGAGAGAGTAATTTGAAAAAGACGAACAGCTGCAATCAACAATTTTTTTTTCTCTCTTTTCTACCTATTGAATTTCCTCTTTTTCTATCCGCCACTTTACTCTATACGAATCTCGAGACCTCCTCTTACCTACCACTTATGTTCTTATCAGATTATATAAATATGCAAGAGAAAGAGAGAAATTGGCATTATTTATGTGCATTACAATCTCTCTATCGTTTTTTTTTCTTTCGTTTCTTCCAATTTTGTCGGTTTTTATTTGATATTGATATCCTTTTTCATTATATGTGTGCAAATGAAAGAGACAGAACAGAAGAAGAAAAATAAAATTCATGACAGATTACTCTATTCTCTCTTTCTCACTATTTCTTTCAAACTTTATTAGTATGAGATTGCAAAACAAAATTACTTCTAATAAAATTGAGCACGTAGATCTTTTCTTTCTTCTCTATTTTTATACGATTAACCTTTATCGATAAATCTTATAAATAAGTTTAATTCTATTAAATATATTCATATAACTTTTGATTTCAATGTACGTAATTATTTATTTTATTCAATAAAAAACAAACAAACAATTATATGGACGGAGTAATGAATACGCATATATATATATATATATCATAAAGATTAATAATAAAAGATTCCAAATGCAGCTACAGCACAGAATATAGTTTCATTTAAATAGACACATTCAGCCATTCCATCTGTATCTGAATCCCATAAACATCGACAACCATATCTAACACCTTGACCTTTATTTTCTCCAATAATACATTGAACAATAAATTTGTATCGATCAAGTTTCATATTTGCTGCTTTAAGACGATCACGAATATCGATTGTAACTATTGTAAATAAAGAATAATTGTTGAATGAATACAAACATTATTATTATTCTCAAAAGTTCATATTAAAAATGAACAATAACTCAAGTATTGATCAATTTCTCATATAAAGTTACTAGTTCATTGTATATGCTATGAATTAGAATGTATTTCAATCTCAAGTCTAGAAAATGAGAATAACAAATATGCTTTTGTGTGTATTCAATTTACGATTATATTTATAAAATCATATTTGTTGGAAATGTGAAAATTTATTTAATCATGTTCATCGATTTTATTTGAAAGGAACACCTTGATAAGCTAATTCTCATTTTTCATTTTTTTTTTCTATGAGTATTTTCGTATGATGAATGGCTTCGTTATAATATGCCTATTTTTATCGTTTGTATATTTTTACTTAACCTATAAAGTAGACACTACGAAAGTGTCAATTAAAATTACCTTTTTCTTCATATCAAGATTCTAAAGAATACAATCTAATCCTCTAGAGAGAATTTTATTCGAACAAATAATATTGAACTATGAAAGCATATACAACTTCTTGTGATTTATCAGATGATGTAATGATTTGATCTTAATGGCTTAAAGTATATTTTGATTGACTATAAAAATCCTTGCAATTAATCTGAATAGTATCGTTAATTATCCTAACAAAATAATGACTTTCTGTGAAGAAGAATACTTATGTCACTGCTTGAACTTCATTTAAAAATGACAATGAATAGTAAAGAACGTTTCTTTAGAAGTATATACTTCAATTGATATTTAAATCTCATTATTTATGCAGACATTTTTGCATAAGTAAAACTTACTAGTTTTTGTCCATTCCGGACATGATTCTTGTTCAAATTTTTTATCACCAAGAATATCACTAATACATGAATAAATAATTTCTTGTACTTTTGTTGAACGAAATTTTTCTTCAAAATTTGGTCGAACTATATAACCTGTTGTTTCATTTAATTTATTTGAAAGTGTTGCAGTAGTCATGAAATTTGTTTCGATATATTATTTTTTTAGATAATCTGAAAAAATAAAGATTCATTGTCTTTGTAATATATAAATATAAAAAATATCAAACAATCATGATAACTACAAATGCAAAAATAAATTAAAATCATTGTTTATCATTTTTATCGTTTATATTAAACCGGTCGGTGATCAGCATATAAACTTTTTTCACTGCCTTCTTTTGTACGTTTAAGTTCTCGATGAAAATTAATCGCTGTTTTAAGTTCTTGTTCAAATTTTACTTTTTCCATTAATGGATGATTTTCTGCTAGAACCAATTTTTTTCGACTATCATATTGATATCGTGGTACAGGTTGTGGAGAAATTTGTATTGAAGATTGTCGATTACGAGAAATTGAGACTGCTGTTGATTTACGAACAGGTGAGATATCCGAAGATTGAGAAGGTTCATCAATATCTATGAAGATAAATTCAATATATAGATTTTATTCAGTTAAAAAAATACAATATTTACCTGACGGCATAGGTGGATTTCGTTGCTGACTTTTAAGACTTAACAATCGTAATAATCTTTCATCATTATCTGCTTTAATAAGTGCCATACGAAAATGAGATTGATTTTGAAAAAGTTCTCTTTTATTAGCTTCAAAATATTTTCTTAAATGATTTTCACCAAGTTGTGATGGTGCTGGAATTAATATTGGATATTTATATGCTGCATGATCATTATATTTTGTTTGAGCACTTGAACGACGTGAAACTTTATTTTTAACATTTGAATAATAATGATGATAATTTCTCCATATATTATAATTAATTGGTGGTTTACCATCAAGACTTTTAGCATATGTTGATTTATGTGAATGTTTACCAGCTTCTAACCATAGTGCATAATCGAGACTAGAAGAACTTACTGGTCCACTTATTGGTGTTGAACGATCATCAAATGATTCTCTGAGTGTATGTAATATTTCATGATCGAGTGAAGTTTTCGGATGATCAAGTCCAGTTAAACGTTCAGTTATATGTGGTCGAAATGATACGGGACATATTGGTTCATCAATACTGATATTAAGAGGTGTAGAATCACGACTTCGTGCTGTTTTCATCTACAAGAAAAATAATCAAAAATCATATCTTATTTCTTTTTGAAAAAGAAGGGTAAACTAAAATAGATCTGGATAACTATGTTTTATTGCTTTTAATAAAATAGTGTAAATTCAAATTGATCAATATGAAAACCTTGACGATGATAAAATTTATGTGCTCGTCCACGTTGACAACCACTATCTAATGCTATAAGACTTAATCCTAATTTTGTTGCTTCATTTTTCATAAAATTAATAAGAGATTGGCCAACACCTAAACTTCGTTTATTTTCATCCGTTATTAAATCATCACAATAGATATGTTTAGAATATTTGATATTATTAGATATACGATAAACGGCTAAACCTAAGATATCTTTTTTTTCATCATTACTTATTGCAACTATTATACGAGCTGGACCAGTTTGACAAATATGATGAATTTGACCAATATATGTATTTTGATCACTAGATAAATTTGGTCGAAGTTGTAGAAAAACATCTTGAGCTTGAATTAATAATTGTTTATTATCGGATGAATCTGTTATATCCATAACTTTTATATGACTAGGATTTTCTAATAAATTCATCGTTTTTACAGCAAATCCAAATGAACTTATTGCTAAATTATGTCGAAAAAAGAACCCATGTGCTTTTGTATTTGTTAAATCGCATTGTAAAACTAATGATGGTGCTCCACATTCTTTCGATTGTTTAATTAAATATTGAAAAAGTTGTGTACCTAAACCATGATTTCGTTCTTTTTCATCAACAACTAAATCATGAACTTCAAAA